TTGAGTTATGCGTACGTAAATCGCTATGGCTATTATCAAGGCTAGTAAATGACGAATTTCCTTGTTGTAGTTGATGTCACACTCTCCTCTATTATCTACTCCTGCATATTATATACTCCTGATCGTATGTATACACAGTGCTCCAGCCTCCACCATTACCTGAATTAACATAGTAGTAGCAAAAAAGTAGCATTTGCGACAGGGCCGCTTCGCGTTTTAGGGGCACCCGTTCGTTTTAGGGGATGGCTCCCGTAATATCATGAAACTTCTAATAATTAAATTTTGTTTAAAAAAAAAGCTTGGTTAAAGTTACCCTTATGTGTTTTTAATATGTATGTGATTTTATTTAGGGCCCTTTATAACACTATGCCTACAGCGCCGCGCACTAGCCTTAATCCGGGCCCTGCATGCTCCCACCTGTTTGCGGAAATCTGCCTGTTAGTGTTTAACAGTTGCACTGTTTCTTACTCCTACGGCCATCAGCGCTGCGGCACGAAGCTGGGGACCGCTATGTAGGGCAGGCGGGAAGGAAGCTGGGCCTCATGGAGACGGTCTGATTGAAACCGCTGAGAGGAAAGAGTCGCAGAGGCATCATCCTAGCGCTTGTGCCTCCGGGAAGCTGACCGGTGATTGCAGACGTTGGCACGGAGGGCTGCGGCACTCTGGACAATCACTTGTACACAAACACGAACGCCGTGCGCATGCATAAAATAAACACCGCAGCTGCCGCTCACCTCTGCATCCTTCCGTTGCGCACGCATACACACAGACAGGCATTGCACACGCACCCATGCCTCTACAATAATTTACTACTTACTTTGAAGCGCAATCTCTTGTATGTAGAATAGTCACATGATTTTCCCAGGCAAAAGCATAGACAAAGTATACCTTACACCGCAAACACCACATTAACCTAGCTATAATAGCTAGAAAGAGCCGAAGTGTCGTTGTCCGTATCTCCACTCCGAAACCGTGCCACGTTGTGCCTCACGCGAATCAGAGCTGGCGGCCCCTCTTGGACGTTCGCCAAGCAATACATTCCCTACTTTACAATACTTCCATGAATACACTCTTAAAACGCGCATTTTTCGATTTGGGGTTAAAGTGGACTTCTTGAAGCAAACTTTCTAAAAAGTTACTGTACCCGAAGGAACTTCGGCAAATTCAGCGGAAACCCGCACAAATTCTATCTTAAGATGCCAAATCCAACACGCACACACAAAGCCATTGCCGGTCTGCGCCACTGCCGCGCACAGCTGCGGAGGCCGAAAATTTAAGAGAAAACCCCAACCGAGAGTTGATGTGTGTGAATGTGTGTGGTGTGTGTGGTGTGTGTGTTGATTGTGTGTGTGTGTGTGGCTCGCGTGCGTTGCGTGCAGTGCGGCAAGCAGCGGCGCGTTGCGTGCCGCGTGCGCGTGTATTGTGTTGTACGCGCCGTTGTGCTGTGTGTAAATGTGGTATGAGTGTCGTGGGTGCGGTGTGATTGTGCGTGCCGCATGCCCGTATATGTGGTGTGAATAGCGGTGCGCGCGTGCCGGTGCCAGCGCGTGTGGTGCAACATTTGACAACGGGAGTGTAACCGTGCCCCGACGCTGGTTCACCCGGCCCTCCCAATGCTCTCACATTTTTAGACGCGTTCGATTTGTTCTAAGTCTAAGGAGCACACACCAACACCCACACTATATATTACCATAGACCTTTTTGAAACTGCTGTTTAAACTATTAATGTGTTTTCTCCACGGGTTTGAATGATAATATAGCTATACTAAATGTAGATTAAAGCGATAATAATACAAATTAATTAGGTGGAGCCTGCACCTAGCATAGCAAGCCACACTAAACGCACGCACGCACACCGGCACGCGCACACACCAAAGACATTGCGGCTGCGGTGTATAAACAGTATGTATATATATATATATATGTATGCATGTATGTATGTATAACATACATACATACATGCATACATACATACATACATAGTATTACATACATACATACGTACGTACGTATGTATGTTTGCGTGTGTGTGCGTGTGCGTGTGCGTGTATGTGTGTGTGTGTGAATGCGGTGTGTGCGTGTGTGCGCGTTGCGTATGTGTGATGTGTGTGTGTGCGCGGTGTGTGCAAATATTTGACAACGGGAGGTGTACCCACTGGCCGTCCACTGACTTTCAAGAAAATAGATCTTCAAAACTACTCAATGCATTTTGCTTTTTTTAAGAATTTACTTACTTAATGATGCTTCTAACGCAGAATGATATTTTCAAAAATAATATTCTAAATAAGTGAAATTGGTGCTATGAAATCCCATTTCCCTTTTTTTGAAAAAATTGTAGGTAATTTTAAGGTAAAATATTGATATATGACTCGAGTCTAAATATCAGTATTTTTCGTTTACTGTAAATACATCCTCAACTAGAGCACTCGGAGAGCACAGACCTCCGCCAAGGCAGCTGAATTCTCTCAATGTGAAATTTTTTATTAATTAATTAATAACACACAAACCAACACTCAAAAACTCGCCGGTGAAAACATAACCCCCGCCATGCCCCTGGCGGAGGTAACTAAAAGGGAGGGATAAATGGTTAAACCGCCATCCTCAAATCAGACCCCACTCAAACCCGTCTGGAGGACGGGTAATAGCTAGTACGATATAATCAGGAGTAGATAAATAGGGAGGAGTGTGACATCAATAAACAAAGGGAAATTCGTCATTTACTAGCCTATAATACCTACGATTTACTACGCGTAACTTCATCCAACCTTGAGCTCAAATCGGACAATAGTACATTCGCCAATCATCGTGCGAAATCGTTTCCTCGTAGACACCCGCAATCCGGAGATACAGCCTAAAACGTACGACACGATTCTCCATTCTTTGGCCATCAATCCAGCCCATTGCGCGCCTATAATTCAAACAAAAGCAGCTACCTAACGCGCTATTGCTAACTGAGCAGAGGCATGTGTGCTCGCTGGAGATTAGGCATCAACACTCGGCGAGATAACCTTTGACCCGGTACACAGCTACACAGGCCACCTTGTACATAGCGTGCATGCCTTCACGCACGCACGGCAACCGCATGATTAGCTTCGTCGAGTGTTGCGTCCGATCTCCAATCTCCCCGCGAGCCACAAACGCACATTCAGCTATCCGAGAGAGCATACACAGCGACTGCGTGGCAGTCTTGCTGCCTTTTGTCTGAATTATAGGCGCGCAATGGCTGGATTGATGGCCAAAGAATGGAGAATCGTGTCGTACGTTTTAGGCTGTATCTCGGATTGCGGGTGTCTACGAGGAAACGATTTCGCACGATGATTGCGAATGTACTGTGTCCGATTTGAGCTCAAGTTGGATGAGTTACGCGTAGTAAATCGTAGGTATTATAAGGCTAGTAAATGACGAATTTCCCTTGTTTATTGATGTCACACTCCTCCTATTATCTACTCCTGATATAATGCATTAGCTGATACAGGTTGTTGGGTATTTGTCACATTTGTAAAACAGTAAGTAAGTGAGTAAGTAAAAACATTGAATGACAGTAAACCATGTTAGTTGCATACACAATGATTTAATACAGTATGGTGGCATCGATGTATATGGTTCATATCTTCAGCTATCACATACTATGCTGTCGGAGAAAAAAACCCCACAGAGTTGGCGATAATCATTACTCTAGCCTTTAGTGAAGAATTTATTGGCGATTCCGGCCTCCATAACACAAACCTATCTTCTACAATGACTGTCACAAGTTTATCTGTTAAATTATACGGTGTTTCTGCTGTTCTGCGTGTTGCAGTCGGACGATGAGATGGAGACGGGCGCGTTGGAGCGCGTGAGACAGCAGCCGTTCGTCGCACACGTTCCCGTTCCCTCGCAGAAAAGAGGTAAGCTTCCTTAACTAAGCTTCCTCTGCCTCATCGTTCCTTCCCTCGTTACCGCACTGGTTGTCACCCTGCTTCGTTATTGCATCATTGTGCCGTACTCGCCAGAATGAAGTAACGCAGCTGCCCCACCATTCACGATGTCTTTCGTTTCCGCATCGCTCGTTATCATGTTGCTCGTTACCGCAATGCTCGTTACTGATGATTCACTCCTTATCTCGCGCAGGTGGAGGCAGCCCTCATCCAGAGGAAGAAGATGAACCTGCTGGAGAAATATGCGAGTGAGACGCTGAGAGAGCAGAGCGCCGAGGCAAAGGCTTTGTTAGGCCTGTAGCGTCGTGTCGGCTCGCGCGACTTTATTAGGCCTGTAGCGTCTGTGCGCGCGACTTTATTAGGCCTGTAGCGTCCGTTCGCAGCGACTTTATTAGGCCTGTAGCGTCGTTCGCGCCGACTTTATTAGGCCTGTAGCGTCATTCGCGCGACTTATTAGGCTTAGGCGCTTCCGACCTTTAGGCGTGTAGCGTGTCGCGTGACTTAAGGCCTGTAGCCGTCTTCGCGCGACTTTAATTAGGCCTGTAGCGTCGTTCGCCGACTGTATTAGGGCCTGTAGCGTC